TGCCCAAAAAAAGAGACTGATGTGTACATGCTGTGTGAACACAACTACATCAAAGAAGCAAACTAATTTCTCAGTCTGTACTAGACCCCTCCAAATGTTGTTAGCTTACAGCTCAGTTCAAGAGAGATAAATGCAGTGTGTGCTTCCTAAGACACTGAAAATAAGCTATAAAATCAACAGGCAGGATAAATCCATCCCTTTACAGACTTCATACTCAAGAAGTAGCCTAGATGCTAAACACGCATCAGCTTTGTGCCTGAAGACACTGCTTATGTTTACGCTGGGTTCTTAATCCTTGTAAAATCATTTCATATTGTGTGGATGTGTTTGGGTGTATTTTTCGTCTGTCCTTCAATTGCTTAATGTGTTCAGACTTCACAGGCTCAATTAAGTCTGACAATCATATACTAATTTTCTAAGCTTTTTTTTTTTTCAATTACCAAGTGGTTCTAAGTTTGCCCTTTTATATAATAATAAACCATAATTTTATATTTAGTGGACATCTCAATATGCAATTATATGTTTGCACAGCCAATTAGAAGAGTTGTCTTCTCAAGGCATGCCTGAGAAACATCACACTGTTCCGCAAAAAGCTGCTGTTCAAGTTACAAGTGCTTCTGAGTGTTCACTTTTTAATGAAGCTTGCTTCCAGGCACTGCTCAGTGTGCTAAACATTCAGCGTGTTAAGGTATTTTCATGTGTCTAGTGGCTCTGAATGTGGAAGAAATTAGAATAAACATGGGAAAAGCATTTAAAGGTATTTTCCAAGCTAATATTAAGACCTAAATTTGGGGGTTTTGTTTTTTTGTCTGGTAGCTAAGAAAGATAAATGATAACATCCCTTTTCTTTAAAGGAAGCATTGACTATGATGAATTATTAACCTAGAGACAGGAAGACCAAGCAGTATAACTGAAGAAGGCTATGTGGAGGTGTGAGCAATTAAAGAACAAAAGAGGAAGGTTATGGTATTTCATCTGAAGGCTGAAATGCAACTGCAACTGCCTACAGTTAGAGTTGATTTTTACTGAGCTCAGCTTCTGCAGTATGCCCTGGAGAAGGTCTGTGCAGACCTCTTCACTGCCTCCCAAATAGGAGGAATGCACTAGGAAAGCTTTTTTTGGGCAGGGAGCAGAGCAGGGATGGAAGGGTTCTTTCCTGAACGAATTTCCATGTTTCTATTGTGGTGTTCATTTAAAACTGCATCTCTTTATTGCACTGTCTCATTTTGAACTTTTAACTGTAAGGAAGAACCAATTCTAAACAGATAATATCTCAACAATGTTCTAAGGATGGCTCACTTGTCAGGAGCTTAACGACAAATGCAGCATATGGTAGCAAAGGTGTGGAGAAGATAGGGTAAACATAGTCCTTTTTTTGAAGCAGTATAATCTGTTTGAAAATAGTGGTTTAGGTGTCTTGGCTACTTTCTTGAGGTTGCTTCTTTATGCCATGGTGTTTACAGGCTGTGAAGTTTGGTGTATTCAGGAATGTGGGTACCTGCAGCAGGCTTCCTATCTTTGTCTGAATGCCAGTGTGGGGCTGTTCTCTTAATTACTGAAATAGCATTTTTTAGAACTGACAGTGGTGTCAGCAGCTCATTTTCTGGCCATACTGTCTCTTCCTTTGCGAGGAGCAAGTCTGTGTTTTGCACAAATGCCTAAGTTGACTCAGGTATACCAGCCACACTAAGTAATCATAGTGTGTCACAGAAACAACCTATCTTCATTAGCCTTTCAGCTTAGTTACATGAGGGTTTAAGATGCCCTCATATAACGGAACTTAAATACATCACTGTTAGTCAGGACTAAGGGAACAAATTGTATTGTGGTACTGTTTTGGAGTTTTATTTTTAAATCACTCATCAATATCACACAACATCCTACCATTTTAGAACTGAATTTGAAATTACCCAATGGATCTAAAGTTGTCACTAAAATTGATGGGAATTACCTATTTTGATCCCTTTTACACACACGTGTGTATATATACATGCATGTCTGTGTATGTGTGTGTATATATCTGTGTGTTTCTCCATATATATATATCTAGAAAACAAGATCATGCCTTTATTCCTGGCATGTCTCTAATCCTGAATTCCTGAATGCACTGGGGTTTGGGTTTTGTTGTTTGTTTGTCTGTTTGTTTGTTTAATATGTACAAAATAGGAGCTTTGCAAATGCTTATTTCTCTGAAAAGGGAGTCAAGAGACTGCAAGGCAAGGGGCTGACTACAGGATTGTACCTAAATCCAAGGATTTGGGCTTGATACCTTCAGCCTAGTGTGACACAACAATTCCCTGTATCTGTGCCACCCATCTGTGCTTTAGTATTTTTGCCTTTAATATGGGCCTGTCTTCTTACAGTTGGGTCTCAGAATGTAAATCAGCTGAAAACAGGAAAATACTAAAGGAGGAATTAAAAAATACTGGAAGAGCAGTAGTAGTTTGAATAACACTCGAGAAGTTCTATTTTCTGTGATGTGTTAAAAATGTCTAATGCACTAAGCTTGGTATTTTAATGATTTTAAACAAATAATGTGCATTTTGTGACTTAGAAAAGAAAAAAAGCCCAAAAAACCTCCATCATCATCATCATCACTTGGGCAGAGACAGCAGTGGGTTTGCTTTCCAGGCTGCACCTTTTGTTCCCCAGACCAGAAGGGAATGGCAGCAATGCGGAAGCCGCAGTTTAGCTCCTGGGCACAATTGGATCCTTAATGCCAATTAAAAGGCAGACTTAATGACTACCAAAAGCAGCCCCCAAGCCAGGCCTCCTTAGCTAAAAAAAGATGGGAAAGCAACATGATGTAGGAAATGATGGAATTTTGAAAATCCCATAAGAAACGGGAACACCCTTTGCTTTCCCTCCTGCATCGGCAGCTCCCACTCTGCTATAGGAGAAGCCATATAAAGATACAGAGGAGTAACTGGTGCAACTGCCCCACCTCTGAAAGTGGCTTTTAGCTAACTGGGGGATTGTTTGTGGTCAGTGTGTTATTTCTGACTAAAATGGCACTTCATAAAAAGAACAAATTGTTGGCAGCCACTGCTCTTTGAATTCTATTTCTAGTTCTAGTCTCTATTTCTGTTGCTCTCAGTTGCTTTTCTCCTAACAAATCAAACTTCAGGATTGCAGCAGGAAATTTAGATTTAACCTCAAGAGTCAATGTTTTGTCTCATGTCTGCTCTAATGTGATGCAGATGTTGGAACTGCTGTACGTAACTCAAGATTTTATTGAACTAGCCCTCCCTGCCTAATAGGAAACATAGCTAACCAGGCTGCACATTAAACACAGATCACTCTGACGGTACCAAGCATGGGAGTCTGAGAAATACAGCTACAAAATTCTGTGGATATTCCTTCAGTTGCACATCCTTCAGCTGTTGGATAAGGAGTTTCTGCCATGGTAAAACATCAGGGTTCTTTATCTTACTTGCTCTAAAAAGCAAAGCCAGGAAGTAAAAATATGATACCTGAAATTGTTTACAGGCTGGATATTCTATTTTTTCCTCCCAATTCTTTGATTCCTTCTCTTTAAAAGACAAACAGAAAAAAATGGAGAAGTAGGTGATCCCTTGTATCCCTTTTTACTGCTCCTGTTTTCCAGCAGCCTTCATCTCTGCTATTCTTGCTGGTTTTTTGAGTTTTCCTTCTCTCGAGTTGCCATCATGGCCCGAGCATGCTAAACACTTGGGCATGTCTTTGATGAGGACTGAATGGTAAACACTGATGTTTCTGAGGACTCTGCTATGCCATGTTAGCCCCAGTACAAAATCATCAGAAATGAGTTCTTTCCTCTATTAGTTCTTTTTTTTTTCCTTATTTCCAATAATTGTTTCTTATAATGAGATTATAGTTTGCTACTTTTCTATACAAACCGTGCACTATGTTTCTTAAATGAGATTTTTTTAAGGTAAAACCAGAAGGTTTAAAACATCAGAGTGCTTTACTTGCCCACAACAAAATAGGAATTCTGTATTAATGTAGTGCACCAAAATAATCCTCATGTCTTTTAATATAAAAGCTGTGCAGAAACATATTACTTAGAGCAATCTCCAAGCAGCAGACCAGGGAAAAGCCCTTAATACACAAAAAATAGGGAAAAAAAACACAAACCAGAGTTCTGCATGGAAACGGAGATTAAGATACGATAAGAAAAGATATATAAGTCTTATATATATTTTCACCCAGGCTGACTGATACTGTGCCTTTTTTGTTTAAACCTTGCACTTCCACTTCCTGCTGGAGGACTTCTTTGACCCTTAGGTGGAGCAGTGTGGGTGTCAGACAGGGTGCAACTGGGTCTTATGGCAGCTCTAGGGCTGCTGGCAGCTGTATTGGTAATACCAGCCCTGATGCAGATAGACACAGTGTTAGCAAAGACAAGTTCCTTGTCCTGTGTGGGTTAAAGCTGAGCTCCAGAAAGGTCACAGCTGTATTAAAAAAATGTAGTAAACCCCCCCACTCATTCAGATGGTGGCTGTGTATCACAGAAATGAGCTCATTTCAGCTGCTGTATCAGCAAAGCAGATCTTTAGTTGAACCTTAGTATATTGAACTATAAACCCGTTATTTCTGCAGTAATGTGGGCAGCTCTGTTTGAGGTTAATTGCCTTTATATATTCCATTGCAAGGTTTTTGTTGGGGTTACTTTCCTATATGAACAGAGAGCAGCTTATGCAAAATGGGGCTATGCTGTTTCTTGGGCCCAGCAGAGGAACCTGTATGACAAATAGCTGATCCTACCTACTCACTACATCAGAATTAAAAAAACGTCACTCATTACTCAGGAAAATCAGTACCAGCTCCTATTTCTAGCAGGTAACTTTTGGAAGCATGAGGAGGGTTTCATTATTGCCTCAAGCCTCCAAACTCAGTTTACATCCAGTAATGAGCACAGGAACACCGAGTCATGTTTAAACTAGCACGCTAATTCTGTTACCATATAATCAATGTAGCAGAACTGTCTCTCATTACACATCAATCTTTTTATCTTCCAGGTTTCAGTTTATTTCTTTCATTTCCACAAACACTATACAACATTTACAGGTAAGTGAATTAGCATTAAATGAATTCTATTCCCTCCTTTTAATTACGTATATTTAATGGTTTCCTCACTTGAGAAATAAATGTAATGCTTGAAGTAGCCTAGCTTCTTTCAGCCAGGTGCTGTCCTGATAATGTAGTAAAGGGTTTTCTGGTCAATTTTTTGAACCTGAGTGGTTTCTTTTCCATGTTTGTAACTCCTTTTCCCTCACTTGCCATTCTCCAGGCAGTCTCACACTGATGAAGGCTCTGTAGTTACAATCAGTCCATTTTATTTGCAGTCAAATGTGACTTTAACTTCTACCTGTGCTAGGTGAAAGTCTGTACCTGATCACCCTGCACTCCAAGACAAGACCTACTTTCTTGTTTTCCAGACCCTTCTATAAAACTCTCCTCTGTATGAAGTCTAAACATAATTGCTGTCAGATACAAGCTAGGCAGGTGGCAAGCTGTGATTACATCTCAGTGCTGGCTTGCTGCACCTAGGAATTTTATACATGGCTAGTTTATACTCTGATGGCCTATTTTCATTAATGCTGCCTGCATTGCACTAGTATTTGCTAGCTCATTTCCCCCATCTGTCACATCAGGTCTCTCAGGTCCTAAGTGTCCTGGAGGAGGGACTGTCACTGCCTGTCTTTGGGAATTAGTGGAAATTATTATGAAGATTTAAATTTTAGAGAGACTATAAGACAATAACACATCACTCCTACACAGCCCTTTTCACATTGCAGCACTGGGTGTAGTTAATAAAAACGTGAATTACCCCGTTTTGGGGCAGGAGGAGTGGAGAGCCAGGAGATGTGGGGCAGGAAGGGCTGAGGACTGGCAGAAAGGCTGAGCAGCAGCAGGAAGGGGCTGGTGACCAGTGATGCAAGGGACTCTGGTTCACGGAACACTTGGAGGAGGAGGGAAACACCTTGGGCATGGAAGTCCGTGGCAGTAGCAGCATTTAACCAATTGAACATTTAGTATTTGCTTTCTTTTCTCTCATGTCATGACTTCTTAGTGTTTTCCAATCCAAGTCATCATTCGACACAGTTTCTCACAACCCTTCCGGTGGGTTGATGATTCCTCTGAACAGAAGAGCACAGTAATTTTAAACGTCCGGTCAGGTTTGCTTAAAGGATGCACGCACAGGCTGTTTGGTGATGAGGGATTTGAGTTTTCCAGTCATCCCCTCAGGTTCCTCATCCTGCTGCCTGTTCTCAGTTGCTGTTTTATCAGAAGAATATTCTTTTTTGGAATAAGGAAGATATGAATTGTCTTTTTTGTCTAGATGTTTCTATAAATACAAGTGTTTCGAGATTTTAAACAGGACATTTCCTAGTACACAGAATTGCTCTTCTGAGCTATTTGTATGAAGAAATGGTTCAGTGGTAGTGACCTTTAATAAATTAATCCTCCTACTCCTTTTATAACCTCTCAGTGAGTTTTGCCTGAGTGAAAAAGATGCAAGATACACAAAAGAGCCGTTGATCTTAGAGTTATCTTTTTCCTAGCTGACAGAAAATAGCCATTTACTACCTTTAGTAGTACTACCTTTAGGAGACAGCTTAAAATAGCCAAGAAAACACAATGAATCATAAATTTTCCTGTACTCTAATTAGCAAAAAAAAGCCTCCCCTTTAAGCTACACTTTGGCAACACTACAGGATTGTCTGGCAGCATCACCTGAAGATCTAAACAACAGCAATGTGTGCCAAGCACATGCTTGACTCTGTTGCCATTGAAAACATGGGGGATGTTGAGGGAAGTAATTCAATGTCTCATGTCAGAAGTTTCATCCTCTAAAAAGATACATACTTTGAATTCACAGCAAGCCTGCATGCTGTGCATTTGGATGACAACTACAACAGAGTACCGCAGCTCACTTTGTGTTAAGCTTAGCGGCCCATTGCCAGGCGATGATGAGTATGTGGAGCTGACCAGATGCTATGTGAATAAACCAGTATAATTTTGCTCCAGAAACAAATGTTACTTGAGTATCCTACAATTTCTCAGAAAATACCTGGGTATGCAGCCCATTTGCACGGGTAGCTGTTGTGCTGCAAGATGAATTCTTAGGCTGAGTTTAGTTCCTGTGCAGAAATAGAATGGATACATTTTCTTACTCCATAAAACCATTGTATTTATTTACAGAGCACATGTGAAGAAAACACTGAGGAATAACTCATTGTATGAAGGACTCCTACCTCTTGTGTCACCTCTGTTGCTGTTCATGCTTCTTACAGTCTGGGTGGCTTTATCTCCAGTCGACATATTAGCAAAGCAACCAAGATTGTTTTTATGGATGGTTGGGGTTGCTTTCTCAAACGTTATTGTAAGTATGTTTATTAGTGGTGGTGGTGTTATTTAGAGACTGCTTTGACTTTTACGTGAACAAAGAGAAGGAAACAGAAACTGTAGCTAAAACTGAGCAGAATCGCACATCTCTTCTGCCTCTGAGTAGACTGCAGTTTATTAGGCACCAAGTGCAATGCATATTCTCTAGGACTTTTTTTTTTACCAAAACATCTATTGCAGTATTAGAGGCTCACATAAATTAAAAATATATGTGTGTTAGCTGAAATCTTCAACATTTTAGAAGCAAGCATAAAAAATGTATGGGTGTTAGTTGGGATTTGTAGCATTTTAAAAATTAAAACCAAGCCTTTCATTTCCCCTGGTCCCTTACACATGTTTCCTCCAGTATCAGAGTAAGACATAACAATGCTTTTCTTCTCCATGATAGTCTAACACTGGGTTAGCATTATCTGCTCTGTAGACTACGAATTGTGAGACGCTCAGACCTCTACTTTGAGATTAACTCATAGAGCAAGTCTCAGAAATACCCAGGTCTCAGCAAACCACCACAGCACAACTCACAGCTCCCACTTAGGAAGCCCTCAGGGGCACATGTTTGGGTCCAGGAGGAGGGGATGTAGTGGGTAAGTAAGTCCTGCAAAGGGGACTTTCAGCCATTCCTGTAGCAGGAGCACAGTGGATGATGTGGTAGCTGGCTGATGAGCTGGGACAGCTCAGATACTTTATTAGGAGCCTCCCAGGGGAAGATGGCAAGAGAGAAGACATGAAGGATCTACCAGGAGCACAGACCACAGCTGACAGAGGTTTAAATTCAGCACAGCCAGGGTAGCATTGCAAACAATAGGTGAGGTAGATGGGAAAGTGCATCCCATCCAAAGGGCACAGTCCTACAGCCTTACCTCTTCTTTCCAGTCTGCCTCTCCAGACTCCCGTGCTTTCATCTCCTAATGCTGTTTTTGCCTCATTTGTAGTGTCAGTCAGTGCTTCAGGACCAGGGGGAATAAGGAATTGAGGGAGGAGCATGGAGTATAGTCCCATTTTGCAGTCCTGTGATACACTGAAGGTGAACTGCTCCAAATACTAATAAGCAGTTGAACTGAGTATTGTACTTCACATGTGTCCTGGGTTCAGCAGTATCAGTCATTTTTCTCCTTCTTAGTAGCTGGTGCAGTGCTGTGGTTTTGACTTTCAGCCTGGGAACAGTGCTGATAACACGGATTTTTTTAGTTACTGCTCAGTAATGTTTACTCTGACCAAGGACTTTCTGAGTCTCATGCTCTGCCAGGGAGGAGGGGAAGCCGGGAGGAAGCAGAGACAGGAGACGTGACACAAACTGACCAAAGAGGTATTCCATACCACAGCACGTCATGCCCAGGATATAACTGAGAGTTTCCCGGAAGGGCTAGCTCTCTGTGGGGTTGGACTAGGTATCAGTCGGTGCGCAGTTGGGCTGGGAGGGGCGAGTTATTGTTTGGCGGGTGGTGAGGTGTTGTATTCTCTTCCCTTGTTATTTCCTTTATCATTACTATTATTGGTGGTAGCAGTAGTGATTTGTGTTATACCTTAGTTACTAAACTGCTCTTATCTCAAACCCTGGGAGTTGCATTCTTCTGATTGCCCTCCCCATCCCTCCGGGAGCAAGGGGTGGGGGTGGGGGGTGGTAGAAACCGTGTGGCTGACTTGTCGACAAGGCTTAAACCACGACAACATGGTGTAATAATGGTTAAAGAAAACGTGAAATCCAGCCTCTGGGTGGGTGCAGTTATTCAGCCAGAAAAATTCTATTGTACAGGTTGCTTTGCCCATTTCTGACACCCCCCGCCCGCAGCCATTCCCAAAGCACTCGTAAAACCAGTATTAGTACAAAAACCAATCAAAATACTGATGCTGCTTGTAAGAAGAACTATTGACACCAGGTACCAATGCTCACTTCTTGCATTACTGAAAGGGAATGATGTTTTCATGGCTTATCTTTGCATTCTTCAGCTTCCACAGCACAGACAGTAAAGCCAATATCTTTTTGCATATGGTCAGACTCCTACTGCTGCTGTCACAGGGTTTCGGGCACTGCACGGGAATGAATGAATGATTTTGTACTCTTCTACAGCTTTCAGAAAGCATAAAATCTATTTTTAACCACTTTTAAACTCTAAGTGAAACTTCAATGGATAAAATATTTCACGTGTCTAAATACCTTTTTGTTTTTTTGGTAAAGGGCATTTTGTATATGAGACACATTTCTTAAGGAGTCTAAACCGGGTAAAACACCCACGTGTGCTTAACTGGTTTTAAAAATGTGAACTTAGGCTGAGTTAATCTTATTACGTTTCAAGAATTCAGTAAAATTAAGCTAATTGCTTTCAGTTAAACCATGCACCATATATTGTATTCATTTTTTTTCTGCTTTTCTGAATGGGATCCCTTTCTCTGGGCCCCCAGCTCTACCTCCAGGGAGCCCACTGCCATGACTGAGCCAAGGAAATGGTGGTTTACTACATGGAGAAGCGCTAGAAAAGAAAACCAGGATTTAAAAGTGGCATATATTACCTTCCCTCCCTTCTAGACAATGAATCAGAATGTATTTCTGTCACACCATCTCACTGAAATACCAATACACTCTCACAGTGATTAAGTGGTGGCACATTTGATTTGGGATCACAACTTCATGAGCCTGTGTGGAAGCATGAGGTAGCAAACAAATTCCCTTTCTGTAAAGATGTGTTTTAAGCTTATAAAATGAAGTGTGTCAAAACACTGTCTCCAGGAAAGAAATGTGTATGTTAAATTATTTGTAATGAAGTCCTTTAAGACCCTGGGGGGATACCTTAGAGCAGCCTTCCACTACCTAAAAAGGGCATACAAGAAAGCTAGAGAGGGACTTCTTACAAGGCATGTAGTGACAGGACAAGGGAGAACAGATTTAAACTGAAAGAGGGTAGATTTAGATTAGACTTCAGGAAGAAGTTCTTCCCTGTGGTGGTGGTGGTGAAGCACTGGCACAGGTTGCCTAGAGAAGCTGTGGCTGCTCCATCCCTGGCAGTGTTCAAGGCCATGTTGGATGGGGCTCTGAGCAACCTGGTCTAGTGTGAGGTGCTCGCGGCAAGAGGTTGGAACTGGCTGATCCTTAAGGTCCCTTTCAACCGAAACCAATCCGTGATTCTATGATGATTCTCAGACAGTGAGGCACAGAGGTGTATCTACAGTAGTCTCACCAGAAACAAGCCCCATTTTGAACTCTAGCTTTGTTTTCCTCTTATCAGAAGCAATCTGCAGACAAAACAGATGTGCTTTTGCCTGGACCCTGGGCTAACCCAGTGCTTCTCACCTGGCTCTTTTTGTTCTGACAGTGCAAGGTGATCATCTGCCAGATGAGCAGCACCCAGCCGGAGCTTTTCCACTGGTTCCTTTTCCCGCTGGCACTGGTGGTCTATTCAGCCATCTCCGGGCTGCTGAGCTGGATGGAAGAAGCCGTGCTCGCTGTGTTCACAGTGCTGGTCACGGCTGCCCATGTGCACTATGGGGTCTGTGTGGTGAGTGGCTATGGGAGAACTGCACTGAGGTGGGGAGGAAGATGGGGTCTGGGAATGGCTTCTGTCTAGCTGGTGCAGTGATGTGGGAGTCTGGATGCTGTTAGAGTTAGGTTGTTTTTAACATATATTGTTTTGTTTAGTCTAAGGTTTAAAAGTCACTTTACTGCAGGCAGTGCCTTCTCACACATGCAGAGACTTCAGTGACTTACATTATTCAGTGTAGCCGACTGGTTTTGGCTTTAAAGCCATCACAATCAGAATATTTGTGGGCTGTTTTTTATGCAGTGGTAGACTCATGTGGCATGAATGATCCCATCTCTTTTTTCCCTTTCTTCTTCCTGAGGTTATTTGACGGAAAAAAATAGGAAGGTAAGATGCAAAGTACCATGAATAAATTCATAAAATCAGGTTAACTTTGCTTTGACTTTGCAAGCAAAATAGTTGTCCCAGTTTCTGATCTTTTATTGGCCTTCTGTTAGCATCTTTCAGCCTGGAGATATGAATGAGACATTCGGTCTTAGCAGTGCATTTTTGTGCCTGCTAGATATCAGTTTTGTCATTTATTGTCATCTGAATTACTGTTTAAGCTCTGTTTCGCTCAGATAATGCCCTCTTTTGTAAAGAGTATTGTCAAACTATCCTTAGGAAAGTGTCTTAATGGAGGGGTTGCTTTTAGATGGAACATGTTGCTTGGGAAAGGTCTCATTTCACAGGAAGTTTGTCCGCATTTTTTTTGGTTAAGATACACCCCTGGGATATAAGGATTTTTCTTTGAAAGAAGCCTTTTGTTAGCAGACATCAGCATCATTGTAGATTTTACCTCAGCATCAATACAGACCAGTTGGTGGAGGTGAGAATTCGCTATTCACCCGGTCAAAATTCGCTATTGACTGAGGTGGCCTAGCTCCATCACAGTTTATGTCATCTGTGAATCTGGTCCATAGCGACTTCACTTCCCATCAGTGTGCTGCAAGAGAAATGTAAAGACCACAGCTCTTTGTAGGTCCCTATGTACTTGAAGGTCTCCAGGTATGCAAGGAATGTGGTCAGGTTCTCCTCTTTCTGACCAGAAGAGAGATGGTGAATTGTGAAGCATATCAAAACTGGTTGCTAATCTCTGCAATTCCTCTTTAGGGGAGGCAGCTGAGTGAGCACTTGAACATTTACATCTTTTCCCTGAAGAAACGTGTCCAGGAGTGAACACCTGCACTACAATCAGACTGTGATACTTGACACGGAGATTTGCAACTCTTCTGATGTGATACACAGTTGGAATTAATCTGATTAAAATAACCAAAGAACAGATACATCTGGGTATCCGAACCACTGCGACAATGAGCTATGCAGCAAGATGCTTCATCTCAGAGGAAGGTTCCTGTCCAGCAGAGAAGTGTTTACCAAGTTCTTCTGCTGCTAATATTCTCTTCAGCAATGTTGTGTTACTACCCTCTCTAGAGCTTTTGTCTTCCTCCTCCTTGCCACTGTGTCCAAAGTCCTGGATAAATCCATGTCAGGTTCCATGAGATCCTTGATGGTTTATAACCAGCACTGTTTTTTCCCAGCCTAGTCACCAGTGGGACCCTGGCAATGCAAATCCCCCCTGGATGTCCTTTCCACTCAGACATCTGTTCCTGCTTCATTTTCCATATTTATTTTCTCACAACTCATTTCTTCCATACGACCTCCTGAAGGGCTTGCACACATTCAGGCTTTCCCTCACCTCAGGTGAACGTGTGAAGAAAAGAGAATGAGCTCAGAAAGCTATGGGTGCAGTAAAGTGGTTTTAAAACCTATGGGTTTTTTCTTCCTCAGCATTAAGATGAATCTCAGCTGACCTGTATCTGTCAGAAGTGCAGGCTCCTTACAGCAGCACCTGGCCTTCATGCTTGTTTTCTGGGCAGTAACAAGCACATTGTTGGCATTTCAGTAGCTACAAGCAATATAACCCTACAAAGGTAACCAGCTGAGAATAAATTTGGCCAAAAAGCTTTAGAAGAGTCTCATACTTCACTGCAAAACTAATTAGTCAAACATCATCTATGAATGCAAATACAAAGCAAAACGTTATTTGCCTCTGTGTTTGAAACAAATTCTTGTGGTTTTAGATAATGGGGGAAAAAAAAAGGCAAGAAAGGCTTTTTTTAAACATTACATGTTTACATGCAGATGCAAACCACTACGCTTCACTTATAATATATGTAGGTTTTCTGCGTGCCTTGGAGGAAGGAGGAAGAATTTAAGTTTCATCTCTTTTCATTTGCTGCTGTAGCCAGAGGGACTTTGTGGCCTTGAAGCACTAATGAAACAATCTGCCCACTTTCCCCAAGGTAAGCGTTAGATTACATTTCTTGCACAGAGGGATGTGATTGATGGACTGGCATGTTTATTAACTAGTTAACTATCTCGCTTGCCAGAAGCTGGGTAGAAGAGTAGTTGTTGAGCTGCTGAGCCTGAAGTTCACCTTTTTCAGTTCTTAGACCATTTCTTTGGCTTTACCACTTGCCTTATCATTTTCCCCCAATTAATGTACCCTTACATCAGTGGCTCTTACTAATATTTTCAGCTGAGCACTGACTTGCCATACCTCTGTACAATTTCATAGCTTTGTTCAATTTTAAATTGAACAGCTTCAGTTTAAGTTCCTACTGCCTGTTAGAGCAGTTGATCTACCACAACATCAATTGGGCTGATTTCCCATGGCAGCCCTTATGACAGGGGCCAGGGGACAGGCCTGCACATCAGCTTCCCCTCTACACAAAGCAGAAAATTCAAACCAACTCACAAGGGTTCTTATGTTTGAAAACACACATGTTCCACCTAGTAAAGGGCATGCTCAGGGTCCCATCCCCTACTACAGCCACATAGTGCAGTCACAGTTCAAGCAGCTTAAAGCTCGAGTTAATCAGAGGACACAGGTCACCCTGTTAATGCTGATTTGGAGATTTTGCAGAGAGCCCTGCAGGGGCAGGAGGCTCTTGCACCCTCCAGCACCCCTGTGGTCCAGCTCCAGGGCTGGAACAAAGAGAGGGGTCTTCCGGCCTTCCTCCTCACAGTCGGATGACCATGCGTGATGCTCAGGGAGTGTGGGGTTTCCACACTGGTGCTCCCTATCTGCCCAAGGGCTCTTTTTCTTAGAGAAAGCCTGACAGCTGTTTATTTAATAGGCAGTTAATTAAACTGTTTATTATAGGCAGTTCTGACTGTGTTTTAAGGGGAACAAGTTTAACAGAGACATATACCCAGCAATCCGTTTGATGAAGTCAAATACTACATCCAATACCACCTATGATGCCCCAAAAATCTCACCTATTTCAGCAGTTTATATTTAACCCATCCATCAAAAGTATCTGGAGGAAGTCCTGACTAGAAAAGAATTAGAATACAATAAACAAAAATACCTCTGGATTGAATGTGGTTGTTGTACTGGAGGCACTCTGTGAATAGAGCTCCATTTTCCCTCTGTCTTGCACTTATTTAGGAAACAGTTGGAAATAAGGTTTCCAGAAGCTGCACAATCTGATGCACTGTAATGGAGTATTTTGAATATATTTCATTAAATGAAATGATAAAACTTGAACTGCCACAACTTGCCTGCAATTGTACCTGTCTAAGGAGAAATACAGTATCACTTTCAAAGGAAATTAAGCTCCAGCCAGCCTTCTCACATTCTGTATGAAGATGTGGCAAATAAATAACTTTCCTTTCCCTTTTTGACACAACTTGTCAATATGATCTCTATAAAGACAAGTATAAAAAGAGAGCATGTATTGCAGTGTATATATTGAATTGTTAGCCATCTGAGATGGTAACTGGTTCAATGAATGGGAATAAAAATGCTTTGTTCATAGGGCAGCATGGTCACAGATTTATTCTGCAGAGTTAGATAATGGTATGTACATGACCTAACAGTCGCAACATTATGGCAGAAAGTTTTCAACTATTTGAAAGTAAATAACTGGAAAGTAAGTAACTTTTTTATGCTAGGGATCAGCACTAGCCCAAAGACATGCTTCCCCCCTTGTCTTGTACAAAGCAACCAAACTAGGGCTGTTCTCCCAGATTTGAGCGCCTGGGTTGGAAATGGGCTCTTTCCTGGCTTCACCCTTCATCCTCTCCATCAGAAACCTTCCGTAAGTGGTGATGGGCAGTGTTCGGCCCCAGCCCCAGGGATAGCTGAAGGCAGCAGAGGGGCCTAGGCTGATCTTTGAGTAGTAGAGCACAACCAGGTAGCTTCAGTGACAGAAAGAGGTCCCGACCGTAGGCTCAAAGCCCTGGAGATTTAGCAGCAACTACTTGCAGCAATATTGCTTCATGCTTCAAAAGAGCTGTAAGAACTACAATTAAGTTTGTCCCTTTTCTTCCAAAACCCTCATCTTTGTCTCAATCTACAACAAAAGTGACTTATGCACTGCATTGAAGAGTCATCCCTGAATGCTTGGCCATTGCATGAAAAGTCCATTGGGAGCTTAAATGTCCTTATTACAGTTCTCTCCATCTCCTGGATGCTGCAAGTTTTGCTTTTGTAGTATCAAAACTGAGACAAGAGATTTAGTACTCAAATCAGAAGGCATTTACCATAAAGAAGAATTCTCTGTTTACATGCACAGACATTCTCATTTTTGATTTGCAGAATGGGGTACATTTGCTGAGCTGTTGGGGAAGCAAATACTACCTACATGCATTGAATACGTGAATCTCTTTTCAAAGCAGTTGCCTTTTTCTTCCTGGTCCCATATGCAGTCACTAATGAAGAAAAGAATACGTATTTAAAGCAGAAAAGTATTATTTTAGAATGTTGTGAATAGTCTCTAGAGCTAGACAGATTTTAACATATATTTTTTTATTAAATATGTAAAAAGATAAACGCAAGTTATTCACATATTCAGACAAAAATCTACTCTACCATGCGACAATCTGTGGATAATGTAAAACGACTGATACATCCAAATAAGACTTTTTTTGTATCTATTATGCCATTACTTATCTATTTATAATTAATACATATGTTTACATTCCTTTCAGTTTACATTTAATATATAACCAAAGCTTTATGGTGTGCTATTTAGTAAATGTAATTACAAATGCATATTAAAACCGTAACAGAAGAATGGGTTACTCACAGGGGAGTGGGAGGAGAAGGACAACTCTTTCTCCTTTCAGAGCATCGCTCGCCCCTCAGCACAGCCCAGTTTTCTAGTGCCCACAACGTATCTTACCACCCTGGCTCCCTACATCAGTCACTCCCCCCCTTGATACAAGCAGTGAGAGGGTGATGGTCTTCGGACCAAAAATAGGATATAAGGAATTTTCGGCAGATGAAGTTCAGCTTTTTAGAACTGTTATTATTGTTTAATATGTGCTCCAAAAAGAGAAAAGGAGAGGTGCACAACAGCCTGGCCATGAGCCCTCCAGGGAACTCAGCAACCCCAACCATTCGCACCTTTAGAAATACATTTTATCTTCAAGTGCTCTCCATGCATCTGCTCAAGTATTAGCAGAAGGATGAATTGCAGTAAGAGGAGACTGGTGCTGATGGAATTAAGCTTATAGACTGATCCCAAACTCCTTGCCCCATCAGAAATCCCATACAGGTTAAAGGAGTCTGGAAAAAAAATTAGTAACTGCTCTTCAACAGTATTATGAAGAACTACCGTTTATTACAATGACAATTGTAATAAGTACATATGTTCTAATAAACACAAATACAACAAAAATGACAATTCCCCCATTTGTGGTGATTCTTGGAAATACTTATTTTGGAATATACACATTTTTTTAGAAACCAGACCTTGTTTGTAACCAATCAAGAAAGGAAAGGAAAGGAAAGCGCTGGCCAGCAGGTTGCAGTACTTCCACTTCATCACTGGGTAGACCCTGAGGCCAGTGCTGGAGACAGGGCTGGGAAACCTTCAGCCTGCAGGGTCCAGAAACTCTTCTGCTGAGCAGGGGGAGGATCAAGGATCTGGAAATACCTGTTCTAGTGCTTAGCAGTATTTTATACGTTGTCTGTGGTGTGACACACAACAGCAGGGTTCTCAGATTTAGCCAAGAGCCACTTAGCTGCAGAAGATCGATTAGGAACAGAAAACTGCATGAGCATGTGTCTGTGTGCACCAGGGGGTTGATTAATTGAAAACCTCTCCATGGAAGCATAAAGCTGGAAACTTATGCATTAGGAGCCTATGAAGGTCTAACATGATTTAGCTGTTCATTACGCTTTGGAGTTTTCCAGTGACTGTTGACTGGGATGAGACTTCCATGTGCCTGCTAACTCAGTGTAACAATCCAGAACTAGGAAAATCAAGTGAAAGACCAAGAATACCAAGCATTAAATACTCAGAGAGACTACAATGCACAGTTTTACAAGAAAAATACGGAATGCTTTTCATACTTCAAGATACCTCTGTTTATAAAATACCATCATTTAGAACAGGGCAATGGGACAGCACTGGAAGGGAACACTCTGACTGCAGACATCTCCATGGCAGACATGGCTCTGCACTGCACAGGCCTCACTGGAGGAAGGTTAGCCAAGCAAAGAACTGACTCTGTGCCCCTTGGTGAGCTGGGCCCCCACTGATGTATGCTCTGTCTCCAGTAGGACCCCTCTACTGCCCCTCTGCGCTTAAGCAGCCTCAACACCCATGAAGTGTTCACTACTCACTCACAGAGAGTTCAGGGGGCTCAGGGCTAGTGCTGTTGCTGATCTTTCCCCATGCTTTACACCAGCGAGGAAATTTCTGTCTTCCAAGTCATATGGCTGGGGCAGCAGAGCGGGAAGGACAGCAAGAAGAAATGGCTGGCCTACTTTGTCCTCTTCCGAGGGGTGGGAAGCCAAGTATGACAGCAGAGATCATGTCCTGCAGCTATACTTGTGTCAAGGAGATTTCTCGCCTCCGTCAGCATTGAGCTGTGCAGAGGCAGAGCTGCAGCTGGAGGCTGGGACTGGATTCCTCAGGAAGGAAGAAAAGCTGGGAAACGTCTATTGACTAGTCAGGAAACTGGGAGGGTTTTCAAAACCTCAAGTGGATGTCTGTTCCTCCAGAAATAAGCCAAAAAACATACCATGCAGCTTTCTAACAAGCTTTCTAACACAGGGGTTTAAATCTCTGCTAATGAAACAGATGCTCTGCCTTGCATTTCGTGAAGGCAGGAAAGAAATAAATGTGAGCAACACGAGCATTCTCCTCCACAACACATCTCATTGTTATGGCTTGATTATGACTTCCTCTGTATCCCTTTATTCCAATTGTTTGACCAAATTTATGCCCCAAGGCAGACGTACTAGAAAACGCGGAAGCACCACAAAGTGAGAGACACAGCTAGTGGTACGGTACTTCTTGCCACACAAAATGCCAATATAAATATGTTAGAACAAGTTACAAGTGTATCATACTTAAGACAAAAAAAAAAAAGGAAAAAAATAAATATATATATTTTTTTAAAGAGCAGAACAAATCTCAAGCAGCCAAGTGGTGAAGTTGCAGTGAATGTACAGTAGGTGATGTAGCCCTACAACCTCTTGGGAAGATACATTGAAAGAAGACGTCTGCAAATGCATCTTGGCAAAGTATGGGTACAGAATGCAGTGGCTGGCTGGCACTCACTATGGTACATAAATGTTAATGGCAGACTGGGAGTGAACTGATTTCAAGTTTGAGGCCGCACATGTTCCATTCTCCAGAAGAAAGTTCTCACACAAAACGAAAATTGTCAGAGCCGCTGGGTAAGTCAGTACTCCTCCTGCTGCTGGGGCTGTTCATGGACTTGCTCTTCACCTTCATGCTCTTCTGTGTGGCTCTCCTGCAGGGAGAAAAAAGGCCCCAAAACATTCTTCAACAGAAAGCATTCCTCCTGTAATCTTGCCCCGCAGCGCTCGCCATAGCCTGAAGCTTACCTTCTAATTTTTGTGCAGTTACGTACAAAATGAGCTGTTACCTGAGAAAAGCAGCATCTTGCACTATTACCAGAACATGTATTTACTTTGCTTTTAATCAATGCACATGCAGTAGTGATATTTCCCCAGAAAAAGTGTCAGTTTTCAACATCACTGTGGATTAACTGTTCTGGTAAGTGAACGTTTTTCATACCTAGACAGTGAGATGCCATATCATAGCATCCTGGTGTCCTCTTATTTTCAGTTTGTCCAAGGACTTCTGGACCTGTCTGCTGTAGTTCTCATACAATTTTTGATCTAGGTTTGTATCACTAAATGGAAAAGGCACTTTTTCTATTGCCTGCTTTAAAAATTAAACTCAGCCTCCTTTTTGAGGTAAGACATACTACTTTCCCAAAATAATATACCCATGCTAATACAGACTGCAGTTCAAAGGTTATCAAAACAGTGGTTTTTAGCTGTATCCAGAAAATGTGACCAAAGAGTTGCAAACACATTTTCTGGCGGGAAGAATAGTCAGTATGCAGTGATTTATAGAGCTACTGTTGAAAGCACTAATCACTAATAAACATGTCCCTTGTGCAAACGGTATGCACAGTATTTTCCAGAGCTGTGCCTCTGGATATACAGGCGCATTAGGAGAAGAATCCTTGACTGAAGGGAAGGCTGGATCCTCACTGATACCCATTTCAAACAACTTCTAAATTAGAGACAACAGGCCTGGTATCTTGAGTTGACCTGGACGTTATCAGAGCTCAAGATGTCTGGCTGACTTCTGGATTCCCATCAAGGACAGCTGCATTTACAGCTTTCTTCTCTCAAGTGGCTTCCATCTTTTCAGCGCACTGTGCACTGAAAATATCCCCCACGTGTACTCTGCCTTGTGTTAGCAGACAGCTCCAAAGGAAAACTTTTCCAAGACGCTGAGCTGCCATTCAAGCTGCAGCATCCCTGATGTGTTACCTCTGCAGAACTTGCCTGGCTCCCAGCAACTTTCTTTAGGAGCAAGCAGCTTGAACAGCAAACGTCAAAAACTCATACTGCCAAGTTTTCAAATCCAAGGCAAAAGTTAAAGGAAAAGGGAGGCCATAATCTGAGTTTTCTCAGAACAGTTCAGAGCAGCTTACACAGTAAGAAAATTCCCTTCCGGCAGAAAACCTTTCTAAAGGGCAAGAACAGGAGAAGAAGGTTCCTAACGGTTGCTGATACAATGGAAATACTCCACTGTTTACCACACAAAACCAGCCAAATTTCAATTGAAAGCAAGGTTTCTGTCACTCAGGTGCTATTTTCAGGTAGAAGCCATGCATGTCAACCAGCACAGCTGCAGTTTAGCACCTTACAGCCTCTTGGGGGAATGATGTCCTTAGTGTACTATGCACGGTAGGTACATCATGTCAAAACTGCTTTTTGCACAGCATCTAAAAATCACTTCTGTGATGAGATGCAAGGACACAGGAACTTTACAGAGAGACACTGACATCTGTGAGATGTCACCACAGCGTTATGGGGTGAGAAAACTGAAGCTTGGTAGCCACAGCAAACTATGTCCCTGTCTCTCCTGACCCTCCTTATGTGGCGAGGTGACCAGCTCTGAAAAGCAGCTCTTCCATAGGCTCTGTGTGCAGAATCTGAGATAACTCTATTAGAAAGCCCACTCATGCAGACTTTATAGGTCATGTACATGCTATCTTTTCATGCATATAATAGGAAAAGCCTATTATGGGCGTGGTTTGGGAACCTACTCTGCAGCTCTGAAGAGTGACGGCTCCTCTCTAGCCAGGCTTACCTTTGATGGAAATGGTAAATCTTAATGGGACTACCTCAGAAGTTGTTCTGAGGCTTGGACATGTGCTTTTCAGTATGTACAGCTTGTATAAATACATGAAATGGGAAAGACAAGAGTCACTACGTTCAATTACCTTGGGACTATGGAATCTCCCTGAATAGCATCCCCTAATAAGGAAAGCAGTGGAAGATCTATTTAGAACATTTATTTCTGGCCTGGATCACACAACCATGGCCATCTCAGTCTCCCACAATGAGATGTGCTCTCTTTTGACCATTCAATCCATCTGCCTCAAGGTATTCAGGTGTGCCTCTAATTGGAAGAGCTAAACTTAACAAAAACCAGCTGCTGGTGGTGGGGGTGCCTCTTCCAAAAGCAGCAGCAGATGTAGTAGCTGCTAGAGCAGAAAGATACAAAAACAGCTGCATTTTGAACAACTGCTTTGAAAACTTGAGCTGAGCAACTGATGGGTGGATTGCTGACCTTTGATCTAACTCCTGCCTGAACTCAGCCAGGATAGCCTATATAGGAAATCAAAAGCTTCCCATTAATTTCTGCTTTATGCAAGACCTCCATGGCTCTGGGTTTCATAACTAGACACGTAGCCTCTTCTGGTTCATCAGTTTGAAGCTCTCCTACTGTAAGATCATATCACCAAATGCTTTACATCCTACCTGAGGTCTCAGTGCGGTTTATAGCAGTCACAGCATGAGTGGTAGGGGCCAACATCTCCCCACCACCCAAATGCATCACTTTTTTAACACTGTTCTCTGTCATCTTTGATGCTTTTGATGAGGTAGGATTACAAACGAGCAATTGTAATTAAAAATTACAAAGTACTGCAGACTGATCAGCCAAATGCTAAATGGCACTAGCAGGAAGCAACATCCCTCTTACATAACAAGAGACACAACGATGAGTTTTAAAACATAACCACAACAGGGAAAAGGGAGCCTCTAAAGACAAGGAACCCAAATAGACTGATGTTTGTGCTGTATGACTCAGAACCTCATCAAAACCAAGACACCGTTCCCCCACCAAAAAAGATTAAATCAGTCTTAAAAATTTAGCATATACTGAATTAAACGAAGCAGAAGGTTATGAAGTGACATAGTTGAAACTGCACTATGACTTGGAATTCTGCAAAAAAATAGTTAGCCCACCCCACAACGTGAACATGATAAAAATCTCTTCAATGCAATACTATAATTCTCAAACACCTGCAGAATGCTTTTTATAGGGACTAAACTCTGTACCTGCATTCTGAATCACTCTACACAGAATTCACCTGACAGCCTACAACGCTCATGGGGTACCTATGAGCTGCTGGGAGGTGTGACTACTTCAAGTGCTGTCCAGATAATTTTTTCTTACTCTTTTTCTTTTAGAAGGATTAAATTAATCTTAACTGAAAACTAAGTATAAATTGTCCCTTTCAAATAACAAGTTGGTATAAAAGATAGGACATGACCTCTGTGCCATGTCAAATACAGTAGATGCTAGGAAGGAAGAGTTCAAGACTGCCATCAGGCAGTTATTTGAAGTATGAACTGAAAACAAAGCTAGTCACAATCTTCAAGCACAAGGCCTTGGTCAGGGATCACTTGTGCAGTATGCGAGAGATGCATTCTGGTGCATTCCCTTCCTGAAGAAAAGCCTCACAGCCACGGTATCATTTATAAATGTCACAAATGCTGAGAATTAATGTAATCTTTTTTCCACTTTGCCTCCATATACTTGAGACTTAAAAACAGATAAAAAGAAAAATCTAAGCCAGATTTACAATGAACTCATTAGCAAGAAACTGGGAATGCTGAAGTTGTCTGTGGTTGGGAACTGGGGCTATTTCCAATCTGCAGGCTTGGAAAGCCAAACTGCTGCTACTGATGGATTAACCTGCAAAATGCTGCAAGATACAGAATTTAACTCAGGGAGAAGTCATTACAGAAAGGCAAAAAAACAGAACCAAAGGGCAAAACAGGACAATGAGATAGCAAAGTCCAAGAACAAAAGGTAGGCAGGATCTGCATTAGCAAGGGAACCAGTGTCTTTGCTTTAGGACTAAGGCACTGGGGTCTTTCCTCAGCAAATTGTTGTCTATCTGCTAAGATGAGGAGAGAATGCACCCCAGAAGATGAGATCAAGTCTCCCACTAAAAGGTAACAAAAGAACTGCCCTGGGAAAGGCCTCTGTATTATTCTCTGGGGTAGCAGTGCTCTCCTGATGGAATAATGTACCTGGCCTCCAAATGCAAACATGCTTCAGATAAAGGCACAGTTGTTATATGTAGTTCATGTGCAGGCAAGGATGTTGCTGTCAACAGAGAAAAGCTTGGAGAGAGGAAGCAGATAAAACACTGGGATGTGGACAGAAGTAGAACATTTTGTAATGTGTTCTGCCAGTAAGGAAAACTGCAGGAAGAAAAGCAACAAATGCATTCCTTGGCAGGGAATCACTTGCTATTTAAGCCAGACAGACAGATGTGGTAGGGGTATGGGGAGAAGAGGGATTTTTCTGGCTTTGCTTTATAAATAAATCACTGTTCTTGAATCCAGAAGACATTTTCTCTGACCACTATATGTATGTAACTCTTTTAGCCTGTTATCACGTGCTTGGCAAATTTGTCTTATTGTTTATTCCTGTGAAAATAATGGTTTCCTCCTCCTTTTCCTCTTTAACACTCACCCCACACTGTTGACCTCTTTCCCCTGTCACTTCCCATCTGAGCAGTGGCTCAGATGCCAGTGCCCCTGTCAGTGGCAAGCTTGTGTCCCTCTTGCACCTCACTTTCATTTATGCTCTACTAGTCTTTTAGAAAAGCATGTGAGTTAACGGTTCCTGCAGCACTACTTTTGATGTAAAATTTGAAGTCTGATGACTGCTGCAGCAACAGCTTTCTGGGAACAGATGTAAGACAGCCTACGATACCACAGTGCTGTCAAGAGATTAAATTGATGCTCAAATACTCTGGAGCCAAAGCCATCATTCACTGGACAACCGAAGGGTCAATCGTCAGTACAATGCATACAGGGATTTAGTTCACATGAATGGAAGTAGTTCAGCTAAATCTCCACTGAATCATTATCCCTGCGTGTATCTGAAGAATTTAACCAGCACCCTTTGCAGCTTCTTGTTCAGTGTCTACAGCACTGAGTCTAAGGTGCAAGGAGATTCTTGTTTACGCTTGCAGACAACACATTTCTGAAGCTTCGATAGTAGAGGATTATTGAGTTTGCACAAGGAGGAATTTTGCTTATAGCAACAGGATAGAAGAAATGCTAAAGAGCATTATCCCTGCAGATATAATTACGTATTTGGCAGGCTGTAGCATACGTATTACAACACTGCCACATGGGCTACAGGAGGTTCACAGCTGTAGACACTGAACAGCACCTCTGTCAGACTTTCTGTGATTTTCAACACATTGAAGAACATGAGTAAAAGACTTTCTGCAGAAAGGCAGAAGACAAAACCACAAAATTAAAGCTCAGAACCATATGAAACCAATTTAAAGTTGTGACACACACCCTCCTCTTTCAGATCAGCTTCAGCAAACCTAGAATACAAAACCTACACTGAAAGCAGCAAAAAGCAACCAGCCTCCTGGATCCCTTCCCCAGGTAGAAAAGCCAGTTGCTTGAAAATGCAAACTTCCTTCACAGGGGAGGAGGTATGTATGGAAATTCAGCTGCTGGAGTTCTGCTGACCAAAATATAGGACATGACTCAATACTGTGACAATAAATTATGAAATTTGTCTAAATAAAATGCATTAAACTTGAACTTACATGTTCTTCTGAAGCATAAAGGACTTCCATTAGCCGATTCACAAGGTCATTATTCTCTCCCCCGTGCTCTTGGCAGAGAAGTTCAATCTCCCTTAATTTGCCAAAGTAGAAATCCCTTTCCTTCTCCACGCCTTCAAGTGCAAGTTTTAATGAATGTACCTGCAGGTGAACCAAGACGTGATGCATCAGCTGAGGTGCACTAAAGACAAAATAACTCAGTCTACAATTATGCATGCTGAACAATCTTAAACACATTTTCAATATTACAGCTTAAAATGAAGTCACTTTTTTTCCTGAAGTGCTAGATTGAACCCTACATAATAGACAATAGTAAACTGGGTTCCCCATTGCACCTCTTAGATACATCTTAACTTTGATCCTTAGAGGTCAATTTTCTTGGTGCCTTTTTTCACTGAAACCTCAAAGCAGCAGTTCAGGGATCAGAGCTACTAACTGTTCTATGATTCTGTCTCCTAACAAGGCTGCCAGAAGTGGCATGTGATGGCAATTAATTAAACTTCCAGCTCAGTACTTGCATTATTTTGCTGGATTAATGTGTAGTTGTTGGGAAACCTACAGTATTCTCCTCACCTAATAGATCTAGCAGAAAAGCTTACTAAGGGAAACAGTCTAGTTAGGAAACTACAAGGTCCCCTAGTTGCAACCGTGAGTAGTGCTGTGCTGGTTTTCCACCTCTCCTTTTCTCACCTCCCTTAATGTACTGTTACAGACCCATGTTTCGGTACCCTGATGCTGTGACTGGCTGCACCACGAGCATTCTGATCTGATTCTTTCAAATGCCAAATAACTTTCTCTTTGCAGCCTTGCTCATTAAGTCTTCAAGCTGTGTTGTCAGTCTCAATTTCACCACTAGGACTGCCACAGATCATTTATGGGCAACATAGCTGTTAATGATTAAGCCACATCATTCATGAAAGATGTGCAATATATTTTTATACATACGTATATATATATATATACACATATTTAAAGAACATCCTGTCCATCAAGGTACACACAATCAGGATAACGTAAGTAGGTTGCAAATTCAGGGGACAGCAATGTAACAACCAACTGAAATAATCACAGATGAAACTGTCTACAGTAAATAAACTGACCCCAATCTCATCCAAATTACAGCCACATTAACAACCACATTTTGAGGCCTGCAATTATACAAATGATTTTCTAAATAAAACATGCTAAACAAATTCAATCTCATCAGACTACATTTCAGTGAACTGATACCATTTAATAGAATGTTCTGTGTTGCCTATTTTACTGCAAGCTAATTTATTTCCTTCACTAGTGAAAATATCAGCAGGGTTCAAACAATGCTTTGACAGCCTACTAAATCCTATCAGTTCACTTCTCCATAACTGCTGAGCTGGCAATGCCTTTTTCTGACCTTCGATTGCACTCTGAGGTGTCAGAGAGCAGAACTAACCTGTTACTAGGACAGGATCTCAGAACATCAAATTCTTGCACTGACCCATTCCTGACCGGCTGCCTGACTGTGACACCCAAGACTTCCCTTAGCAGTTTGAACCTATGGTTGATGCAGTGACCAATCACCTTAAAATTAACCATTTCTTCATGAAAGTAGGAACAGCAAAATGGAACAAGAGTTTACAGTATTTTGGTGTACAGATGATGACCTCATGTTTAAGACATGCCTTCTGGATCTGCAGCAACATATTCCTTGACAGCGACGCCTGCATCCAAGCAGAATAAGAACGTAACTGCTTCCAGATCTTTTACTCTGTTCTTGCTAGTGTTTGGGAAAACAATGAACTTCAGCTGAAACATTGGCGGCTAATTGCTCAGACTATCTCCACTTCTGATTTACATACTATAAAGGCATTCTCCTGTTTTCATCCTATCACACTCACCCTGTTTTAAGAAATGGAATCATTAAACTATGCAAATATGCACATAGTTGATTAGCTAAGTATACAGTAAATATTGTTACAACCAATGCAGATATGCTTTTCTTCAGTTACGTATCTACTACCTGCCTGTGATGGATAAATTTTTCTTCAGATACTTAGCATACCCACACCCTATGTTTTGCTTCTGTGAACATGCCAAAAAATTGATTCTATATAAGGACCAGTACATGTTGACTACCATGCTCTGTTTCTGGACCAGAAGTATTTTTCTTCTGCAATCCAGTTAACTGGTGCAAAGGCAGCAGCTCTTACTAACTGGTCTTTTATCTGATTTCTCTTGTTGCTAGTAGGAAACCCACAGGGCTGCAGAACCAGGCTGAAAATTAAGCACATCCTGTAGACATGCAACCAAGTTGGAGCTGTTTTCAGAAACTATTTGCATGCTATCATACAGTTAACAGTTCTTAGGACCATTCTCCATACATAGATGTCCCTTCTCCATATGTAAAGGTCCCCGGTCTTTGTCCTCTCAGCTGTACTCAGAAAAAATCTTTGGGAAACTGTTAGTTGGCACAGACCAAACCCATGGCAGGAACCACTTTAGTATTTTAATGCTATGGGTAATCAAACTTTAGTGCACAGTGACATTCCTTGGAAGTGTTTAATTCACTAGCACAGACACCCCCACTACTTAAATTTTTCCATTACAAATTGCATGGGAGTTCAGATGTTTCACTGTCCCTTAGCTGCCATTCATGAAAGGGCTGAAAAAAGAGTCTGTTACAGCCATACAGGAATTTGAAGACCACAGGCACCATTCAATGTTTCTTATGCATAATCAAGACAGCAACTTGGTAAAAATCAAGACAGCAACTGGGTAGAAGTGGCTGTTGCCCTCATCTCCCTGTTGCTGGAGAGTGGTTAAAAATGGGCAATTTAGGTCTTGCAGCATGTTCAGACTGGGGGTCAGAAAAACGTGGCTCAGAGCTGCTTGCAGCATAGTTTTTATGGCTCCTGTTATATGCCCAGGGTGCACAAGTAACCATTAGTGGGAAATGAGGTCCCAAATGCTGCCAGCATTAAAAAGCCTTCCAGACCATTCTAGCTAGAAGACGTCTCCAAAAACTAGCTATTAAAACACCAACTTTCCAAATCCACAAAATTTCTTCTCCTCTTTGGTGATGGGAGAAATCATCAGCTTTCCTCTGGGTTGTTTGTATATAGAGCTTAAGGTTTTCACACATGGAATGTGTTAGGAATACATTAGCAGTGGATGTGATAGTGACTGCCTATTTTAGTAAAGATCAAATATTTTGCTGTTGCTCAGATCCAAACCAACCCTTCCTTCTGAAGCAAACTCATTCTGACTTCTGAGTACAAATGTCATGGTTTAAGGTACATCAAACTGACGTTTCAACTCCACTCTTACATTGATTAAAAAGAATAAAAGCTTCCGTGAAGCATATATACTTCCATTCCTTGTGCAACATTCCAAAAGTTTTTTGTTACAGCAACAATCAAAAGCCCATTTGAAGGCTGGTGGCCCCTGTTGTGCTCTCTGCTGCTCAGAATTTCACCCTGAATCCACAGGATGCTGTGTTTGGGATGTGGCTATCCATCCACCACCTTTTGGTGTGCAACAGTAACCAAGGATTTGCAAATGATGCCCAACAAACTGAAAACTTTGTTGTTTGGTTCAATAAAAGTCTGAAACTGAAACACCCTTAATTGTGGAAAATTACACTTGATCCAGAGTAATGACTTCTTCCTCAATGCAGCTGCCAAGCAGCTCAGGCTCTAAAATGGGAGGTTTTTCCTTTCCATTTTCCCTCATCCAGCACAAATACAGGGATCAGGCCTCATTTATACTACCGGCATTTAAACCATTCCAGCATCACAGTCTTGGGCCAGATGCATTTTTTCATGCTCAGTGCAGACACAGTTGCATGTCCAGGAATGACACAGTGGTGTAAAGCTCTATAGCATAAATGAAATCTAAGCCCTTGCATTCCAACATTAAAGAAATTCTGGAGCTTTTTAGTTATATTATAGTGTTCTGCAATATTATTAAGTATTCTCACAAAAGTAGATCGCATTTTTAAATTAAAAAGGCCTATTATGTTCTTAATGCCTTCCTTGCACAAAGCAGAGTGCAATGAACTAGTCTTGATTTAGCTGTAAATCTCTGACACCTTGATATTATAAACAGGCTTATTTTCTCCACAATGACACATTGAGATGCTTTATTTCAGATTTGTAATGCACAAGAGAAAAGACTATCGGGGCTTTTCCCATCTGAGTGAAATAAAAGATACATTTCTACATCTAACAACTTCAGCAAGACTCACTTGTCATTCCTAAGATGACCTTTGGAAAATCCTGGCAAACACCAGGCATCTCTGTCAGATGTTATTTTTAACAAGAAATCACTTTCATTTTTTTACCTTCCCAGCTGAGCTGTTCCAATCTTTTGTCCCCGTATAACTGTGGAGAGCACCTTTCAACAGAGGGCAATATATTTCGTGCCTGCCCGTGACACTGAGTGCATCTAATCTTATGCCAAAAGCAAATTTACCTGTTCGCTAAGCTGTATGACTTGGGTTTCCAAATCTTTATCTGATTTTGATGCTGAGCTGCTTGGTGCAGCTTTTTTTGCTGAAGACGGGCGAGAAGGTGTTGATCCTGGTTTAGAAGCTGGACTGGATTTAGCAGCACCTGAAAAATGCAATAAATAAATAATAATTCAGATTTCTCTTCATGATAAATATATTCCTATTAACCTAATACTGAAACAAAAGCATTCATTTCACAGGCAGCCATTCGCTCTCTCACTTCACGGTGACAGTGGAGGAAGCTCCAATGCTGCTATGAAGAAAGGAAAAAACACATTTCCTAGCAGTTTAAGTTTGCTGCTGAGAGTGAAGCAACTCCAAAACCAAAATAAACAAACATAAAACTAAGATTATCAAGGTCCCTTATAGGTCTCAGCAGCTTTCAGGTTTTAAAAAACCTCTGCCATTAACGGACCGTTCCCCTTGCCCAGTGTTTATCTTCAATTTTCCTGGAGAAAGACAGACCTGAAAAACCCAGCTAGAGTGTCTCAGTTTCCCCCATTTTCACATGTAAAATATCCCTGAGACATAGATATTGAAATTCAGACAGAGCATGCAGAAATTAAACCCATCAGTGAACTCATGGTTGCCATAGTGACCAAGAGATGAGTTTTGATCTGCTTAGGTTTTGGTGTTTGTTTTTAATTACTCGCACTGCAAATCTGCTAGAATATGGAGCAACATCTTTATTAGCAAAAGTGGCAAGTAACAAATGCCTACAGGTATGCTTTTTCACAATGCCTGTGGCATACAAATGCCCAAACAGAGGAATAGTTGTGTGAAAGGATATGTAGTTGTGTGAAAGGATATGTAGTGCCTTCATATGAACCTCACACACATCTCCTGGCACTTTGCTCTGCCTCTCCGCCTTTTCTCTCCTTGTCACTGTCTTTTTGATTTAGTTGCTCAACCCTGGTACACAAGTGCCTGGCCCACTGCTCTTGACCTTGCCTAGGTTCCCCTGAGCACTGCAATCTGCCTCTTCCTAATCCCCTCCAACTAGGAATAAATTTCAGATGCAGTAGACATACATCTGGTACAAAACCTGCTTGGGTTAAAATGACAGAACAGAAACCCAGCCCCCTCTCAAACCTATTCTGATTTATAAAGGATGCATGTGAATCACAAGTCATGCTCTGCAGCACCCACATTTATCACTTTTTATTCAATGGCTCTAACTTGAAAAAGGGTAGATTTAGATTAGATATTAGGAAGAAATTATTTCCTGTATAGGTGTTGAGGCACTGGCACAGTTGCCCAGAGCAGCTGTGCCTACCCCATCTCTGAATTGTTCAAGGCCAGGTTGGACGCAGCTTGGAGCAACCTGGTCTAGTGGGGGGTGCTCCTGCCCATGGCAGGGGGCTGGAACTGGATAAGCTTTAAGGTCCTTTCCAACACACGCCATTCTATGATTCTTACAGAAACCAAAGTACAGTTGTCCGGACATGCTGATGGGCTCCATGGACATCTTCCACCATTGAATGCTATTGGCTCTGAAGCCAGGGACACACAGTGTGTGGGAAAAAGCCCAAATCCAGCAAGCACCCAGCTCCCAGCTGAGCCCTAGCTTGAAGTCACCGGTTCCAGAGGGGTTTGCCCCAGCTTTCTCAGCAGTCACCTTCCACCCCGCACCTCACCAGCTGCTCCTCCTGTACAATTACTTGATTTACGGCACGCTACAAATCATTCTAAGTTGCCATTTCCACATTGTATCCGGAGCAACGGACAACATTTTAATAGAACCATTTATTGTAAACCCAATGCTTTACAAAGGCATTACTTGGAGGAAATCGCAAGGAGGCAGGGAAAGGCAAGAGAGAGACACAACTTGTGGGCCTGCCCATATTATTTAACTGTGGAACTCACACTGTCTCACTGACCTAGAACTCTGTACTGTGATCCCTTGGAAGAGCTGAAAAGTGATGGGAAAAGAGAGCAGCAATGGGTTATTTAATCAAGCTCGCTTGAGCTTTCCTGATTTAGTCACAGGCCTCTCTCTGTAACAAGCATCTTCTCCTGCCTTTAAGGATAATTCTATATTAACTGGGTCATCTAATGCCAACAGAACACAAAACCAATTTGATAATTCAATTAGCATGAGCAAACATTTCTATGCAAGATACCCATCCTCCTTTTCCATGTTCTTTAATGCAAGACATTTTCTTTTAAGGAATTCGTGACTCCAATAGTTTCCATGCCTAATTGCACACACAAACTCACTTCTAGCAGATTTCAGACGCAGTACATGGACTTGCTGAAATTAGGAAAATTCAATGTTGTGTATATGCCTGAAATTAAACTGCTTTTCACATCATACCTAGATCGGCAAATTTGTGGAAAAAACATTAAAAATATCAAGATGTTTTGCTGCTATATCTTTCTTTAGGCCATTTCATAAACTTTAGCACCCTGCCTTCAACACTTTCCAGGTTCAGTCCAGATTTTGACTAACTAAAAATCAGTTGCTTCACAGCAGGATTAAGACACTCTCAAAGCCAGGAAAGTAATTTGCATTTGGATTAGCAAATGAACAGAAAAAAAAACACCTGGTGTCAAAATATGCATGATAAACACACAGACAAAATAATCACTCTGACTACAGCATTCTAGTTGAGTCTCAAGTTATTTAATTACTACTTGTAACATGCAACTGCAACAGTTACGTATACAACATTCAATATATATGTATACTAAACCAAGGTATTAACACTTACTATTGTATTCTACACCTGCAAGGTGCAGTTCAGGATAACAACTGAATATTAAATGTTAAAAAACAAGCTATGGACCTTCAGATGTGAAACCCTGGCTGGTCAATGCATCTCCGCCTATACCAGCTACCCTTCCTCTACCTGAAGGCAGCACTGGACTTTGCCTAGGGAGCAAGCACCTGTGCACAAACACAGACGAAGCTGTTCAGCTTTTCTAGGGCAGCATCCCCCACACTGTTAGCTCCTCACCACTTCTCCTGGGGGGTCATGGTGCAAGACCTACAGCAAGGCACATTGTGCAGCCATGGCTTCTTGTCCCCTTTCATGCTCAATAGTCCTGTGAAGCAAGCTAGCTCTTTGAGGGTTTGGGTTCTGATCACAGGAAGCCATATCATCAAGTACACACCTCTTTTTAACCTGCAGAGAAAGTTAAGGACAGAGTAGGCACAAACACTTAATCCCCAGGTATTCTCTCTTATTTGCAGCTGAGGTGCCCTCCCAGGGTGTGCTGAGAAAGCGCACATCACCACTGTCTGCGGACAGGGAGGGCTGGATAGCACCAATACACTGAATTATGTTCTGCCTTTCTTTGAAAACAACAAAGCCTTTTGAATTTCTACACCAAAGTGTTACTAAGCTTTACTGTGTCCAGACAAATCAAAAGAAATTGACTTTTGTTCCGCTGCTCAGTATCAGCTCTTAAATGAGCACAATATCCCCATTTCAGTACCAGATTAAAACCAGCTAACCTGAGCATTTCAGGCTGTATCAGCGACAGCTGGATAGAAATTAATTGCAACAGAGGATGCCTTGGGATTTCTAATTTAAAATTTCCTGGAGGAAATAAAAAAAAGCAGCTTTACTGCACATTTATTCTGAAACATCAGTTTTAGAATCAGCTCAGAGGTAAGTCTCCCATTCTAACAGAAGCTTAATTTCATAAAAGAATTAAGGATCCTGTTTGGCAGAGTAGTGCAAAGTGCTTGAGACAGCCAGATATCTAAATGGAGATGAAAGATCTTGGTAGACTTAATGACTTTGCTGTCAAGCACCACAATGGCTTTGCAGTCAATTACTACAATTGTGGAAAAACTCCTCATGCATTGCTTAGAGGGACTATATAATCTGCACGGTTTTAATTCCGTCCAATATCACAACTTCTATGAAAATATTTATATATAACCCATTTACGTATTTTGACAAACCACAACATTTTATACAAATATTTTACATTAAAAATACCTGGTAACCAGCTCTTCACTGACCACTAAGAGACATGTGTTGCAATCAGCACCATAAACATGACGCATTACCAATTCATTTTCAAGCTTGCTGTTGATGTTCAAAAAGAAGTATGGAGCCCTGCCATGGAGGGGAACAGACCCATGCCCCAGAACATGCTGGCAGACAACAGCCTGGAAAGCAGTGCGGCAGAAAAAGACTTTGGGGTCCTTGTGGACACCAAGTTAAGCATGAGCTAAGCACCCCTGCAGCAAAGGCAGCTGACAGCATCCTGTGCTTCACTGGGAAGAGCGCTGCTGTCAGGTTGAAGGAGGTTACTGTCCCCCTCTACTCAGCACTGAGGAGGCACATCTGGAGTGCTGGGTCCAGTAGAAGAGAGACATGGGCATGGGCATACTGGAAAGAGTTCAACAAAAGGCCATGAAGATGACTGAGGGATTGGAGCACCTCACATGTATGGAACAGCTGAGAGAGCTGCGCCTGTTCAGCCTGGACAAGAGAAGCTTCAGGGGGATTTTATCCATATCTGAGGAAGGGTACAAGGAAGATGAGGACAGGCTCTTTTCAGTGGTCCCCATTAAAGAGCAAAAGGCAATGGGCACAAAATTGAAATACAATAAATTCCATTGAAACATAAGAACAAGCTTTCTCACTCTGATCAAATACTGAAACAAGTGGTCCAGAGGGATTGGGGGGGTCTCCATCCTTGGAGATACTCAAAACTTGACTGGATATGGTCCTGGGCAACTGGATCTAGGTGACCTTGCTTTGAGCAGAGTGGCTGGTCTGGGTGATCTCAGAGGTTGCTGTCCCACTTCCACTGTTCTGTGAGAACTCTGTTACTGCATGTTCTGATTTTAGGTCAATGCAGGGTCCAATTAGAAGGTTTTGTAAATAACCGTTTCAATTAGCACCTGAATAACTTTTTGTACATACATAACATTTTGCCCATATAACACTACCAGAGATGGGAAAAATAAATTCACAGTTGAAAGACAAAATAATTTGCTCTTGTACTGAAATAAATTAGATGAACCAGCTTTGAAATGCACTACAGGTTTCTATCTGTGGTGCTCCAGAAACAGTTACTAGTCAGTCCATCATAATTAAGTATATGCCCTCATAATTTCAGCTTCACTATTTTTTGCTA